AGTCAAAGTTGGCCTTCGTTTTCTAGCATGTCTAACGTCACAAATATGACCTCTTTAGACTTGTCGATTATAAAAATATAAGACATTGTTTTTCAAATTTTCTTTTAAGGTTTTCAAGAGTAAGAACAAAATAATAATTCGGTGAAGTTTCAGTGTGAGGGAATATTTCTTACGCGTTCACCCTTCTCTCGAAGTTGCCATTGCATCCTGCCGTGTTTTGTTCGAAAAACAGGAATAAAATCGATTTTTCAAACTTTTTTTAATTTCTCCTTTAAAATGAATCGTTTGAACCCAAAACTATTTTCCTTAAATTAGGTCACTAAAAGGGATGTTTTGGCAAAATAATAAAAAATTCGATTTTTTGACGAGTGTCTTGCGATTCTCGATTTTCTCAGAAAATGGCTCTTAAACCCTTCCACGACTACAGTTTATGCTCGGTCTGCATTTTACCCCAACCTGCGTTTTACTCTTAGTCTGCAGTCTGCATTTTACACACAGTCTGCATTTTACCCCTGTTCCGCAGTCTGCAGTCCGCAGTCCGCAGTCTTCGTTTTACACTGACCGAATATAGATTGATCACGGAAATCGGTAAACTAAATTGCTGTGACAAATCGTTATTATTGTAAAGAATAACGCCTTGTAGTTACTTGAGTCCATTTGGTGGGTATCTCCATGAAATTACGGATCCCTAGAGCGTGCACGAAAATCGACCTAGCGGCTCGTAATATGAAATGACCTGAATGACATATACAGCTGCAGTCAGAGGCGAATCCATGTTGAATGGTAAGGCATAACTCAGACTGTAAGATGGATTGGAATTTTAGAATGATAGGCTTTACTTCTGGATATAAAACTGAAGTTTCGCAAGCGCAAATTTATTGGCTTACCTTGAAAAATTCCTGTTCTCTTTTGATGGGTTTGAAATGTGTTGTTTTGCGACCCAGCTTATACTCACGAATGTGCTAATTATAGACTGATTGCGCAGGGTGCATTTGACAGCTGATTTGAAAACACTATTAAGGAATGCGCTGATTCTTCATTTCTATCATAAGCCTATCACATGCCTTCATTACTATCCGTGCGCCTCCATATCTTCAGTTCAATAGACACAAAAAGCACGAAACAGAAACCTTCCATTTTTTATCATTATTTTTTTCCCCATGAATCGTTCGATTGAGTTTGTTTTTTGCATCTTGGTGGGGTAGAATTGGTGCATAATAAAGTAGGGGGTCCGGGGGGTACGCTTTTCAAGGCAAATCTGAACTTTCCTTACGTCAGGAACGCTGGTGTTTTGCTAAACTGGTAGGCAGTTTGCATCAAAAATATGCCGTCACTGCAAAAAGTTGAATGATTTTTTTTGGTGACCTCCTTTTTGCACCCAGTATTTTTCTCCTTCCCTCTCCTTTAAAGCCGCATTTTTTGCATGCCCCCCTCAAATCCTACCAGCCCCCCCCCCCAAAAAAAGAAAAAAGTATCATAACTATTACAAAGACCAGACCAATGTAAACGTGTTGAAAGACTAAGGATTGTAACAGCCGGCAAAGCACGGCGAATTTGAACTGTTCGGTTATAAGACCCTTATACGATCGGCAAAAGGAGTCGGCTCATCAGGAATATCCAAACGCATGCATTGTCAGTGCTTTATAATTACTTTTGGATGTTTATTTGTAAGGGGGGAGTATCTTAGAAAAAGTATATTTTCATTATCAAACTTAATGGCAGGAAATGAAACATTATGCAGTGGTCAACCAGCCACCCAAAATATGAAAGGAATTGCACTAAGGTGTCATCCATTTCCCCTCTTCGACTAACGCTGAACTGATAATAAGTATAAAGGAAATGGTCCTCTGTGCTGCGAGAAACCTATTCAGACTTTTTTTTTCGACCGGTATCACACGAACTTACAGAACTTAATCAGGGAGTTTAACAGCAAAGGAAGTAACAGTTTCTTAAATGTAAAATCCCGTTTGTGAACAGCAACAATTATTTACAGCACCCGCAACAGCAACCACATAAACATCTGCAGGATATGACGACAATCCCGATAAACATATTATGCAATGTTTAATTTTTGGGGTCCAGTTGATCTACCCTGAACCCAGGTGGGGGGAGGGGGGCACCGCATGTAAAAGGGGTGCGGATGCTCGTCGGAAATTTTGAATTAAACCCCTAAAGGAGACCGATCTGGGCGTGGCCCAAGCTTTTTTTGACCCCTAAAAGAGACCATGTTAAAACACAGGCAATATGTATATTTTTATACTTTTCGAGTGCAACCCTAAACGAGACCTTCACGGCTAAATATAACGGCGTTTTGCCCAGAACACCCTAAGTGAGATCAAAATCCGAAATTTACACCCCTAAGCGAGACGACGAGCGTTCCCAGGGGAGGGGAGGACGGGGGTTCACGGTATTATTAATATCTCACAGACCTGTGCATGACTGTCGATAGTTTTCTGAAATGCAGTCGATTCCCGATAACTCGAACCTTCAAGGGAAATTGAAAAAAGTTCGAGTTATCGCGAACTCGAAGAAAATAGCCGGAAGTAAGGTAAAAAACGTTTGTTACTGTACAATGAACATTTTACTCACATTTTATTGAAGAAATTTTAAACGAAAATCGGAAGATACTTTTAGTTTATAAATCAGGACGTAACGTATCAAAACATGGTCTTAATATAGCACCGCATGCGTTTTACTGTTTTGTACGGTGGCCGATAGGGACAAAACATAAACACATACCCCAAACAGAATAACAAAACTCAAAACAAAATCACAAAACTCAAAACAGAATCACAAAACCCCAAAACAGAATCGAAAAACCCAAAATAAAATCGCAAAACTCAAAACAGAATCACAAAACTAAAAACGGAAACACAAAACTCAAAACAGAATCCGCGAAGTGAAAAAGGCGCACAAAGGACAAAACATAGACGCACCCCCCTCCCCCCTTTCCTCTCAATTCAATAGAGAGCTGGAGGAGAGAGGAAATCGATGTTGGTGATGAGAGGGAGCCCACTGACATTTTTTGCTTCAACTTCCACATCTTTTACTTCTTCTTTTACTTTCTTTATTGAACCCACACTAACAATTTTAGGACGCAGTTCAGAACACATACTAAAAAGAGACAATTTTGGCAGAAGGAAATGGTCTGCGTTGTGCAACCTCGTTCCCAGGGTTGTGAGAACCCTGGGAACGAGGTTGCGCGTTGTGTAGTTGCAGAAAATTTCCATACCCTCCCCATGGAGGGCAAACACAAAACCAAAAACGGAAATGCAAAATAGATAAACCTTTTTGGGCCGTATTATATTGAAGGTCCAAGGTCGCTCCACCGCCTGTTTCCGCTCCTCGACTGGCCATAAATTGCTCAACAGTAAATGGCTTTTCCAAAGTAAGCCGAACTGTTACTTCAGCTCCACATTCTCCACAAACTTAAGACTCTGCCTTAACAGTTATCTACTTCAGAAAATTCAGGAGAAATTGTTGTAATACGTTGATCCCCTACTCCTTTAGAATTTCCATTTCAGAGGGTACTTGTCGATACCTCCCTACCCCATGTGATTCTGTTTGTGCTTTGTGATTCTGTTTAGGGGTTTTGAGATACTGTTTTGGGTTTTGTGTTACTGTTTGTAATTCTGTTTTGGGTGTGTGTTTATGGTTTGTCCCTACCGGCCACCGTAGTTTTGAGAAGTAAAGCTGTTTCACGTTAGATTTGTGACAAACAACATCAGCCTCCACTAGTAAACTGTATGCCTACAACATGTACACGTCGATGGGACTTTTCCCCGACTTTTTAAGAACTCAAAACATGGTTCGAGTCAGATTGAGGCCGTAAAATTATATAGAAATGATCTGAGGGGAACTAACTAACAAAAATTACTTCGAGTTAGCGGGAGTTTCAAGTTATCGACGGAGGGGTCGGGTTACCGAGGGTAAAATTACAGTAAATGTATGGCGGAAATCCAGGAGAAATCGACTTTGGTTTGAGTTAGCTCGAGGTTCGAGTCCCGAAGGGGTGGTGGGGGGGGGGGGTACTCCCATACATTACCTATACGTGTATGTGCCGCCCAACGGGGTCGTGATTTTGAAGCTCCTGATTTAGAACGGGGTATAATGTTTCGAACGCACGAAAGCTCCAGTTTTGTTTCGTCGATAAACTTTAATAAGTTCCTGTCTAACGAAAATTTTTATGGGTTCAATGCGTTAACAAGCAAACTGTTGTACTCTTGTTGCACCCTAGAGCGGAGTATAAAAAACTGGTCCATTTCTAGAACGGGGTGCATTGTATCAGTTTTAGGGCGAATTCTAGAACGGGGCATACAAAATTGGCCCATTTCTAGAACGGGGTATCAATTTTAGGGGAAATATTTTTTAGAACGGGGTGCCAATTTGGAGTCCTGGGCGGGCCACCCGGGGGTTCGAGTTAAGTGTGACATTGTTGTTTTACATGTACTACTTTGCCATTGCGTTACGAGGAGCTGTCATGTTAACCAATTTTGATCGGATTAGAGATAAATCGCTTTTACGCTTTTAAAATAGGTTAGACGTTATTATAGTAAACGAAATGATGTATCAAGTCAATCAACATTGTCGGTTCTTATCGTGAACAGAAACAATGAACAGATGTTACTGATGTATTTTAGCTTTGCATGCTCACGCGATATATTCAGATGTAATCAGCTTTTGTACGGAACGGGTCCTTTTTGGAAATACAGTAGATCACTTTCGAACGAGTTGGATTTATTACTCATTCTCAACAATGACTAGCAGCGATTTGAAGCAAGAAAGGTTGGTTTTTCATCGGAGTGTCTCAACATTTTTGCAACTGGTTGTAGTTAAGAAAAAGACAACAATATGTGGAAATTTAAAGTTTTCTTGCGGATTCATGCCCGAGGCATCCCCGGGACGGGACCGTTGTTATAGCGAGGAGGCCATTAGCAAAGGTTCAACTGCAAAAGATAATCAGAGCACTGAATAGAACATTAAGCAGTTGGGAGCTCAACACATGCAGAATTCGTATATTGCCTAAGAAAAACTAAGGGTTAGGTCATTGTAACTGATATGGATTAGTGGCAATAGGTATTTAACATGTAAAACTAGACTATGAGTATTCCGTCATTTTCCTCAGAACAAGTAGACAAGATAGAGCGATCAGTCTAATAGTATCCGGTAAAGAAGATGTCTCGTGTCATCTTCAATTCAAATAACTTCTATGAACGGGTGTATGAAGTCTCCATCCAATCCACAATATTGCTGAACTTAGGTCGCTTGGAAGGTTCTTTGTTCCAGCACCGAAGCATAAGCTCATAACTAGATAAAGATAATAAAGGAAGGTTGTTGCCATTAAGATGCATGCAGTACGGTAAAAAGTGTGAGCTGGTTACGTGACTACTCGGTAGTACCTTGAAACGATTTCGCTAAAAAAATATACAAATATATCACTTAAAATCAGTCGGCTATATGACCAATATAGGCTGAAATATAGCAATTGGAAAAAAAAAAACAGCAGATGCGTTTATCTGCTTTTTTTTCATGTGGCCCACTCCTCACTGCTTTGATCGAGCCTGCAGCTGAATAGCGGTCGTGACGTAATTACGAAAGGATTCCTTAACCAGTGGACGACTTACAGTTCCGGGCTTATAGTTGACGTTTTGCGCATTCTGCGACCACTTGCCACAAAACTGAACACCTCTTCTCCAGTCATGCCGTCATAGGGGTTTCCTCCTATAAAAATATCAGTATGCGGACATGAATGAAGAAAACACTGAAGGACTCTCGTTAGAATCCAAATTGTCTTTAATAAGGGGGAGGGGAGGAGGGATTAAACGTGAGTGGCTTACTCACTTTATTCACTTTCTCCCCCTGAAAAAAGGGGAGGAGGGGTTCATCAAAGACAGGGGGCTTCAAGGATTTACGCCATATTTTAGATATATTCTCTGTTGTTTTTATTGCATACGTTTTAGCGCACTATAGGGAACCAAATAACTCAGTTGACTCGACTTTCAACTAGACTCTAAGAACCCTTTCAGTTGTTTATTGATATGAACATATATTTTTGTAATATTTTCTCCTGGCTGTTATCAATTTAAAAGGCGTACTAAAGAGGTAAATAAAGAGAATAAAGTTCCTTGTTTTTTCCATGAACCTAGAGGCTTTATTACTTACCGATAGTGAAAATCTCATACAGGACGATCCCGTAACTCCACCTATATAAATTGACAAACATACTTTTGTTATAATTAAGCGCAGTGTTAGACTGCCTCATAGATACTGCATTGCAAAAGCACTTATGTTGCTCCAAATCCTTTTAGCAATAACAAAACATCGCTGGCTAAGCCTTTTATTCTATATGATTACACGAGTCCGTGCATGGTATGAGAGCGATATTTCTGTTTACTAAGTTTTCTTTCCTTTTCGAAAATATCCGTGTGTGATCTTTCCCGTGTGCACGAAAGCCATAAACCCTGTACATTGTAGGCGTGTACAAACATAACCGGACTTTTGTACATTTTACATGTATTTATTCTCCATTACACAACCGAGAAGCTCGACGGTACGTTTGAGGAAGAATTTATGCAATCTATACTCCTTATTTATCATGTTTAGGTGGTCAAGGACTCACTAGCTGGCCTAAGGTTAGTTTTCTTACGTGTTTTATTCACTTACACGTCACTTTCTGTGGTATAAACTTGATTTAGTAACGACTCCACAGCCATCCATTTCACAGGCAAAAGACCCTGTAAGCAAAAGGCCCGGTTCAGATGACGCCGTACACAAGAGCCGAATCGAATTCAAACTTTTAGGCCGACTAAAATTAGTTTTCGACCTGACGAACTGACTCAAACGCCGGTCTTCATTCCTTTCTGCGATGTTATTGGCCTGTGGTTTTTTCCCCGCAGCCCGGGCCTTTACCACACTTTAAATTTTATTATTTGCAATCTCGTGACTTGCATTTAGAATATAACTTCTCCCCTATGTTCTGTATACGTTCTTTATCTAAATGTTCTTCCTGGTTTTTGGTCGGAAGTTCATACTACACAAAACCTAGAATACCCCCAGAAATTAATTCAAAAGGTAAACTGCATTGTAAAAAATTTATGCATTTGGTTCGCCCAATGTGAAGTTCGAAGCGCTTGAATCAACGCCGGTCCACAAACATTCGCGGCAGTGAACCAGGCGTGAGGAACGGCTAAGGGAACGGCTGAGCCGATCCGAGTTGATTCAGGCGCCGTACTTGACATGAAATTAATTCAGTCAATTCAAATTCGAGGATCTCAATGGGGTGGAAGCTTTGATGGTTGACGAATAGATTTTGGAGCTTTTGACAGTTGTCCATGAAGATCAGCTGAAATACTAAAACCGGAGCAAGACTTGAAATGCCTTGAACCTTTTTAACGGTTAATATCAATTTGCATTTTTTGACGGCTGACGGTAAAAATGTACCTTTTTTGACGGTTGACGGTTAAATTTTAGGCCGTTTGACGACTGACGGTTGCCCCTATCGAAACCCTCGAATTCGTCGCATGTGAAGTACTCCGTCTGAGCCAGACCTAACCAAAAAAATAAATCTGAACGTATAAAATAGCGAATGTGATCATTTGCACAGTTAAATCTATTCGCATGCCATCAAGGAAAGATACGTGCCATAAATGGCATGCAAGAGAGCTTTATTTTCTCTTGTGGCATATAATTTTTATAGGCTAGTGAGAGCACAATCTGCTGACCTTTTGATGCAAGGACTGATGGGCCTCACGACTTATACAAAATGAAAACATTTTATATCTTTGCCCTCTTTACAGATTTGCCATATATTGTTTAAAAAATTTACAATCTCTGGTATAGTTTATTTACATGGAGTATTGGACGGATTTATCGATTAAGGAAAGTCTTAAAATACAAGCAGACAAAAATAAGATTTCAATGTAAAGTCAGTTGAACATGTCGTCCGATTTTATTTAATGTACTTATCCCTAACAGGCATGAATAAGACCACGGGAGATAGAGGTGTAGTGAGCCAATTTTTTTGTTTAAGCCCTGCATGTAAACGTCTTACATAAAAACAGGCTACTTTGTTAATACCTTTAAACACAGCCTGTTTCCTTGACCTATCCTTAAAACTGAGATACTATTGCGGCGAGAAGAGTATTCTGGTAGAGAGCTTGAAGTTTTTTGTTTAAGATAATGAGTACTGTCATAATCAGCATGGCAAGAATATATGAGTGTTTTTGGCCTACAGTCATTTAGAAATCTATGACCATTCCCAAGGTCAATTGGTCTGTATGTGTGAATTTAGGCTAACGATGCATTATCGATGTGTAGATAGCCGGTATGTTTTTACTCTCGTCATGGTGTTAAATCATTTCTCTGGTGTTGAGGTGGTCATGACTGGCTTAAGAATGAAGGGTGTGATCGCAAATGATTTGTCAAACGTATCGACTCAATCTATAATTTCTTCCAGTTTATGTCCACGGTATGAACTTTGTATCATCAGCAAACATTTTCTTGGTAGATTTATGTTGGTATGTCATTTATAGAATTTAATGCGACCTTAACAGGAAACTAGCAACAATATGTCAAATCACTGGGTTCTAAACTGTAAATCAATTTCATTGTTATTATACGAAAATGTTTCTCCGTTTCTGATTGGCTTTAATTAGCACGCCAATTCTGATCAAATTTAGTCATAAAAGTTAAAGACGAAATAATAGCAAAATTATCCTTGATTGTCGTTACGCAAATACGGGGGGGGGGGGGGGGGGGGAGGTTGCCTTTTTGGGGGTACAGACCACAAAAAAAACCGGGCAAAAAAGTTGGAAGAAAACAATTTTTTTTCGGAGAGGCGTTGAAAAGTTGGACAGGGGGGGGGGGGGGGGGGGGGAGCAGCTTAGCCTTTTGGATGGTACAGCACACAGAAATGACCGTCAGAAGACGTTGAAGGAAACCAATCTTTTCTGGGAAGTCCGTTAGAAGATTGACGGAAGCAAAGGAAACCGCTAGTTGAAATTTTAATTTTGAGGTGCCACATCATTGAAAACGCAGTAATGGAGCGGTCTTTAGGCAGAGTTCCACTATAGCAAGGTTGAACTTTTGTTTGAATATATGTGAATGCTGTCAATAAGCCTGCAAACCATTAGTCTCGCGGAGCTCGTATGGGCAGACTCACATTTGATCTCTTGATGTAAATTTCACCTGTTCCCAGGTCCCTGGCCATTCCAAAGTCGGTAATCTTACATCGCAAGCCATCACCGATTAGCACGTTGCGGGCAGCTAAATCTCGGTGGATAAGCTGTTAGTATTAAAAAAGAAGAGACAGTCATACATACATAGATATGTACAAGGTAGGGTGTAATCAGTTAACATGAATTTTGGCTCATTGCTCTAGGTGTGAATTTAAGAAAATGGAAATGACTTTTTGACGGTTTTGAAAATACGTTTTTTATATACAACACACCTGGTTAGCGGCGATATATTCCATTCCTCGAGCAATATCGGCGGCGAATTGATGAAGCAATTGTTTTGTTATCTTATGAGCGTCTTCCTTTCTCTTTAAATTATAGTAATCATCATATTGTCCCTTGCTTTTCACAAGATACCCAAGAAGATCGCCATGTGCAACAAACTCCAGGATAACAAGAGGTGGCCCTTTAAAACACCAACAGTGTTTCAACAGTCTCAGCTAAAGGCCTAACTTTTTTCTGAAAACTCAAATCTACAGCTCTTATAACTGATTAAACCAACATTCGGGTCTAAATTGGGTTAAAGTCTCAGATCAAGTAAGCTCAAAATAAGTCAATTAAAAGTAAGGAATTAGACGTGACTGACACATTTTTTTGAAGTGCTACACTTACTGAACTTCCTGTTTCCTTTGCATAGTGCCACATCTTTGGTCATACAGCCCATCAACCGTATGACGTTAGGATGAGGTTTAAGCTTCTTCAGCAAATCAAGCTCTGAGAGAAGGTCCTTGAGGTCTGACTTGGAAAAATTTTCTACAAGGGGTAAACCTGACCATTAATACAAAATCCACCTCCTTTTTAACTTCTTACAAAACGTTTAAAAAGTGGGTCAAACTATTTTAACTGAAGCAATTTACTTCTGATCTTCTGTGGCCAATAATAAATTCAGTACATACATGAGTACTTCGTAACAAAACACAAACATTGAATGTTTCATGTTTTTATTGTTTCAAATACACCTTTAAGTTTGTAGGAATCACTCATACGCTATATATCATAACTTAATTGAACAAAACTAAACCGCAGGTGTACAAACAGCAGTAGTAACGTGCAGTGTCTTCTACGGGCGTGGTCAATGGCCGTGATCGACAGGGGCAATGTGACTGGTGAGGCGGGAGTAACGTGACCATGACGTCACAGTGGCACTAAATCAGGATCACGTAGTATATACTGTGGAAACTTCAGAAACTTCATTTAAATGAAAAATAGAACCTGATTTACACCCGGTAACCTCCGAACATCACCTCCCAGCAACACTTGGGTAAACAAACGAGTGCAAGGCAAATGTACCCCGGAAATCTAGAAGGCTGTATACAAATGCTACAAGATGTTTCACGTCAATGAACTCTGGCACTTTCCTCATTCGGGTCTCTCGGAAGATTACATCGACAGGTCAAAATAAAGGTAGAGGCCAGATGGAGGGGAATCGAAGGGGAAAAGGCCGAGTACATTTAATGATATCACGCAAAGAAAGGCATTCGTTTTGACCCTCAAAATATGAAGTACAATCTGTGTCTTAGAAAAACAGCCAAGATTCTGTTCAGGTCCATGCAGAACAAGTTTGGCCAACGATTAAACAAGACCCAAGTCAAAGAAATCGTCGACCACATGGCTTTCCACATGTTCCTGGACTCAGACGAGCATGACGTCAGATACGTAAGTCCACTCACTGAAGAGAGGGTAGAAGTGTATTACTAACAGCGCAAGGGGAACGATAGCGTATTGCCGAACATATTCGTCACTTGCTTCACTAGCTGTCGCGACTGATTGCACTCATACGAAGCCTTCGAACTTGGGAGGACGCTTTCTGTATTATAATGACAAAGAATCCGTTATTTTTATCAATCGTCCTGGCGAACCGGACAAGGTCTTCGGCGATTTCAAAGATAAAAAGATTTTTAAAGATAAAAAGCCTGAAGCTGGAGACTACATCGTCGAACTCGCTTTCGGATCGGTACTAAAGGTACAAGTCCTTGCGCGACAAAATTGGTTGCAAAGTCCGATGTTTCAGCCTCAAAAGTGATGGAGAGGCCTTATTGAATGACCAAGTGATGAAGAAAAACGTCCAATACGAGGTGAAGAAACCGCTGAAGAACACGCACCAAATTCAAGTCATCTAGAGCTGTCAAAAAAACTGAGATGCAAAACGTTATCATCTCTTCACCTTTCCAGAGTACAAAAAGTAGCTGTTTGTCTGTACATAAAAACGGGTACTGGATCAACTGACCTTTATCACATACCTCTAAGGATACAAACGTAGATGAGTGAGACATATAGAGAGTTTGTTGAATTTGTAAAAACAGTCTGAGACGAGTGGTCACTAGGACCCTCCCACGTTCCCGCTTGTAAATCAGATTTTATTTTATTTAAATACGTATTCCGAAGTTTTTATCGTATGCGTGACTTCTTTGACCTCGTTACCATACTCGTGTTACATCCCTTGCTTGATATCCTGAGTTGGGTGCCACTTTGACGTCATAGTCACGTTAATCTAGCCTTTCCAGTCACATTGCTCCTTGTCGACCCCATCCACTGACCAAGCTCATTGAATAACAAACACAACGTCAAGTGTACCATAAATGTCTTCTATTAACATGTTTATTGCAGGCATTTGTTTTTTGAGAGTAAGTGTCCCCTTAAGGTGGCTAAACAGAGTTTAGTATGTTGTGAATCGTATTAATACTCGTTGTAGGCGTAAATCTCAAATCTGCCACACACGAAACATATTTATCCCGCATTCATTATATTTCCCTATTAATTTGTACAGAGCTTACAGTCAGTAAATCCCATTATGTGAAAACAACTTAACCAAATTGAAACAATTGTCACCAAACGTCGTAGTTCAACGTTTTTTTTGAGGCTTTCATGACTGAAATGCGATATTTTCATCATTTCAACTGAATTTCGTCCAATTTTAATGAGTAGATTTTCAGCTATCTTTGTTTGTATATTGCCTATGAAAGTAAACAAAACAAGCCTTTACGCATTACTCCCTAAGTACGCATGCTCAATACATATGCGCCTGCCAAGATCACACAGTATGTCAAAGACGACCAAAAAATAAGAATTTTCTGCTGACAACTTCTGGGTTTTTAGGTGTATATCTCCTCATGATAAAGATGTTAACCCTAAAGGGATAGACCATTTCCAGAGACTGTTCGGTTCCTTATAAAGCACTACATGTGACATAATGACGTTATCTTGAATGTTTTTGGACTTTGATTTCCATAGATCAGCATTTCAGTAGAAAAGGTTTCTTACATTTGCTTGATATAAACTTTTGCCCGTGGGCTGGCTCGGAACAAGTCTTTTTAGGTCTTCCAGGCCCTTAAACACTTAATTATACTTGTAATAATCTTACCTTTCAGCATCTTGACAGCCACAACTGACCGCTCTCCGGCACCAGTGATGTCAAATACCTTTCCTTTCCACACCTGACCAAACGACCCACCACCAATTTTCTTTTTCAACATAAGATGGTCATGTGGGATTTCCCAGTTAGCGTTGCAGTAAATGTGTGCATATTGAGACTCGCCAATGGGAGTGGGATGATACGTGGAGCCTTGGATTACTGCATTCTTATATGTAGTGTCTGGAAGTCGTTCATTCTGATAGTCTCTCGCTCTAGGGGCAGCTTTTTTCTTAGGATCGATTGGAAATGATTGGTTAGGAGTTCGAGGAATTACGCTTTGCCGACAGCCTATTTCTATCCCACTTGCAAATGGTAAGGGAGGGTCATCAATCGAGGTCTCTTTGCATTGTGATGTTTTGGTTTCTTTTCTTGCCATTTTTGTTAACTTCGTCCTGGAATTGGTCACACTATCGCCGTCTACTGGCTGAAGGTAACCTTGAGAATCTAACATTTGTTGAAACGTTGGATTTTCAACTTGCTGACTAAAATATAATTTTCTCTGGCTTTTTTCGATTGCGGCGCCAGTGCGGTTAGTGACCATGTTGTTGTTACGTTCTTCAAGGCTATCACTGTTCATTACAGAAGTGACATCTGGATTAGTGACCTCACTTCCTATGGAAGAAAAAGAAATATCCACTGTGCCTTTGCACTGTGATGTTTTGGTTTCTTTTCTTGCCATTTTTGTTAACTTCGTCCTGGAATTGGTGACACTATCACCATCCACTGGCTGAAGGTAACCTTGGGAATCCAATACTTGTTGAAACTTTGGATTCCAAACTTGTTGACTAAAACTGAATTTTCCCTGGCTTTTCTCGATTGCTGCGCCGATGCAGTTAGTCTCCATGTTGATGTTATGTTCTTCAAGGGTATCACTGCTCATTACAGAAACAACATCTCGATTACTGATTTCACCACCTGTGCCAGAAGAAAGTATATTCAGTGAAGCTGGCTGCTCTCGGCTCGTCTGGGCATGTGTTCCAGAGCTCAGCCCAGAAATGAAAGGCGTAAGCGAAATTGATTCTCCAGAGGTGGGTTGAAAGCAGGGCTCTTCCATGTTTGTTGCTGATGCTGATGTTGATTCTTGGATAAAACGTGATGACCCTGATAGTATTACTGAGTGATCTCTATCCTCTGCGTCTTGAGCCTACAAGAAACCCATATATCTAATTACGCAATTTCAGGGTTGTGGTGTGATATGGTGTTGTATGGTGTGCCATTTTGTTTTTTTCAAACCTAGCAACAATCTGAGAGCGAAACGCCATATACAGTGTTTCCGGTGTGTAAAGTGTAGATGTAAAATTTCTCAGTGTAAAAAGCAGTTGAGCAGGCCCCCTTTTCGTAAATCTACCGTACTATCAGCAGAGACGTTAAGTAACTTATTTCTCTCTCTTAATTTTTAACTCTGCTGTTGGGGAAAGGCTCTGTGTAGAAAGAAAATGTGAATAGTATTGTGAATGCTAGTTGAATCGTGTTAAAATCCCCAGTTCTTGCACGGTGTGCACGGTATTGAAACCAGTTAACAGGTTAATACAGGTTATATTGTGTAAAATCTTCAGTTGGCTTGTAGAAGACGCAAAAGTAATGTACTAAAATATAATTTTTTTATTCATATTACGAAAATCCTAAAATGTATAAGGTTGAGGGGTGAGATCTTTCCATCTATTTCGATGGAAAATAAGAAATCACTATACCGGCTCAGAAGTGAGATCCAAATGAGATGCAAAAGATACTCTTGTCATCCTGCAAATAATTATATATGATGCCATTAGAATTTGTCGGCTTTTCCAAGTGGAAAACATAAGTAATGGAATAAATATCATGAATCGTTACTGTAACAAATAAAATTATATGGTTATCGGCTAGATTTTAAAACAGTGCTAAATTATAGTAGCCCACGTGTGGGCAATTCTGTCATAAAGGATTACTACGTGTCTGAACGGTTTTGAAGTTGTTAAGGAATAGCAATAGCAAGAAAGAAGATAATAATATGTATCACAAGAAAGAAAGGAAGTCACCACTTCAAATACATACCATTCTTGTCGCCCTGTCATAATAAAAAAGACATTAAGACAGTCAAATTGTGAAACTCTTTAGATGATTATTTTGTTTACTTGTTTTTTTTTTCTTATGGACAGGTGCCTTGTTTAAACAATGGCAACTTTTTAAGTGAGACTTGATTCTAGAATTTTTTTTAATTTTTTTAATTTTTTTAATTTTTTATTTATTCATTTATTTTTTTGATTGATCTTAAATTCAAGAAATAATTTTGATATTCGGGGACAATTTTTTGGATTCGGTGAGCTTCAACAAGTTTATTTTATTTTATAACCAAAGTATTCACATATATAAGGAACAGTCCGCATTAGCAAAATGGAAATTATCGCATATTAGTATGGCAGCTATACATGTACATCCTCTGTACTTGCACGTTGTCGAACAAAGTTGGCCGATCAACCATGGTAAAACGCTCTTTATTTGAGTGCTATATTAGACTGCGAGCAGGCTCTTATTTTTTTTTTGCAAAGTTACTGCACGCGAAACCCAAGAACGTGAGCCGCGATAAACGATCCCTTATTGTAACATAACGTCGTGGTTTACAATCGGGCTGGCTGAGTTAAGAACTAGACGGATTTTAAGAGAAAAAGGCGGACTGCAAACAGTCTAATGCTAAATAGGCACGAAAATACTATTTGAGGACCGCCATTTTACCTGTACGTAGCCAATTATAGCTGGGAAAGGCTTGTACCTATACATTTGTCAGTTGTTTAAGAACCTGGGTATTGGTCCGGCCCTGGGGATCGAACCACGACCTCCCATTTTTGAGTCAAGTTCCATAGCGAATAAGGACAGTCATGTAATTAGCATGAGAAAATGAACTAGACAGCCCTAACATGGCCACTTAAAAATTGATAATTTTTTTCTTTATCTTCTCTTCTTTATATCACGTGTCAACAAATAGCAGTGGTTTTAGCCAAAGGAGGAGATTTTTTTGTTGATTGGTGTTTCCATTACAAACTAAATTGGTGACATGCGTCACACGGTAAAGTTGCAAAGAAATCTGCAAACCTCTTGTAGAAATTAGGAAAGGACCAAAAATAGTCTGTTGGAAGAAATCATCTCTGTCAGTTACTCACCTTTCCGTCTTGGATTTTTGCGGACACAATTGTTTCGCTTAAAATAACAAACCAACCCAACTGCACATAATACTACTAGAGAAACTGGGATGGTGAGCGGAATAAACGTCTCCACAGAGATGGAATTTTTTCTATTTTTATCTTCCTTTTTGCCCCTAGAGATTGGTGGTATTGACATCCTGTTCAGTGGCTTTGTTGTAGCTGAAAACAAATAGATGAAATAAGCCATCAGACATCAGCCAATGAATTTATATACTACTAGAATTAAATTTCAGTTAAGTTGTTAAGATCGTATTGAAGGCAGCTGAAGTTGAAATATTTTTGCGCTTTGGAAGTGATTGCAAATAGTTAATAGAATTAAGCCCCACTTTAATCCCTCTTAATAACTTTTGCGCGCCTTTCCCAGGTTACAGTTGTTTGAATTTCGGCAGTTCGCCATCTTTTTTCTGTGCGTTGTGGGGCAAAGAGCGTGGTGCCTTTGATTTGGCTCAATGAAACTCACTGAATTGAATACTCACCTTATCCTCGACTTCAACGATTCTACTCTCGTCAGGAAAAACATGTTGAATAGGAATTCATTTTATCAGTTATTTAGAGGGACTACTCTTTTTTCTAATTAATTAACAGTCGTTCATACCAAGTGGATTTGTTGTCCTCTCCGTTTGCTGTGTGAATCCGTCCGTGAAATTCGTCAATATGATCAATGTTTTGTCTTTCTCCAATTCACTCTCGCCCCATTTGTTCCAAGCTGTTACTGCGAACATATAACACGTATCAACGGCTAGTTCTTTGACGTACACAAACCCAGTAATGTTTTCTCGTAACCAGAATTCCTTGGTAGTCATACTTTTATTTACTACTTTGAAGACTTGGAACCAAACCGTATACAACATCAGTAAGTTACCATCGCTGTAGACCGGCGACCACCGCAGGGAAAAGATGACATTACGCACTATCTTGTTTCCATTTAGAATCACTGGGCTGGCAGGAAGAACTGGTCATGAAAGAGAAAATTAGTCGCAGATGATAAAATATTATTTTGGTGAGGTGGTTGCACGTGTATAGAGAAAATTTCTTATGCGGAAAAGCTTGCGATAGAACATTTGCTGACGAAATTAGCGGTATAGATTGAAGTAGTGTCATATACTTTAGAAGTCTTTCCAGAGTCCACACAAAAGTACAAAGAAAACCCTCGGGGCAAAAAAATGCTTTAACTCTTTTTTTCCCGTTTTCTTTTTAGCGGAATTCTTTAAAGGTAAAAGAAAAATTGTGAAAAGGCGTACTCTGTAAGCTCACTCTTTAAATTAAAAGGTCATGCAATGCCATATTTTTTGCCTTTTTATGCAATTCATGATCAGTTAAATTATTTAGATTTTGAAATTGTTTAATCCTGCTGCGGGATAGCCCTTTCGTTACATGGATCAACGTTTGTTTATATTTGCTTTCTTGTTTGATTTGGACTCTTATAAGGCAAGGTTTCTTCGTGTTCCTAGTGGTTTTTACAGAGACAAACAGCTCAGTTGAAAAGTAAAAAGTTGTCCTTTATTGCTTTTAGATAAGGGTAGTCACGACTTATTATTGGACATGGACAAAAGGCGGGATATGTCTTTCAGTATGTGTGTCGTTTGTTTTTTCTTATTTCTGTTATTGTTGATGTTCTATGCGCAAAGGGCTATTTCCTTCGCCTTCCTTTCGGTTAGACGAGTGATAACATGACAAATCAAAAATGAAAAGTCATACATTTATTGCCATCAGAAAGGTGCCAAAACGTTTTACGATTTAACTTTGACAATTGTTATCGGTTGCATTGAAAAAAAAAAAACTCCTAGTTGTTAGGTTTATGTGCTAGAAGGAAATTGCTAAATTTAAGCATGAAATAATTCAGAAAGTTGCATCTCTAGGACATACGAAATTTTGTTCATGCCCTCGCAGCGCAAAAATTGACCAGTCTTAATTTAGCTCCCAGATCTCTTGCCAGGCTGATGATTAATATCCTCGTCCCCATGAATTGCCTTGGTGACCTTCTTTGCGTCAGGTTTTTATAATAGTTGCGAATACGCCTCCAAAATGGGGACCACACGTGGGATTGAATATCCCGTCGATGCTACATAAGTTGGTGCCCTCTGCTAAACGTCAAACTGGGTAAATGGGTTTAAAATCAATAACAACGATAAAAAAGGGAGTAACAAACAAACAGTAAAAAAAGCCAAGTCAGATAAGGGAATTTGAGAGAAATTGTGGAAATTCTGCTAATCTAGTTTTTGAAAATTCAGGTAGAGACCATTATTTTACATGTATACTAACAAAACAAAACAACTTACTTCTGAGAAAAACGGTTTTGGTATCCTCTCCGTCTAAGTTTCTGGCGACGCACACGTATTCTCCCCAGTCTTCACTTGTTATGTTGTACAACTTAAACACCGCCTTTGAAGTACGGTTACCATGGTGGTAACTCATGACCTTTCCACCCCTGTGCCATGTGACATTCAGTAGAGATAACCCATTGGCAACACAACTGAGAGTTAGATTAGTTCCTAGTTTTAGGAGAGGTGGTTTAGTAATGTTCATGATTCTTGGGAAGTCAGCAACGGCTTAAGAAAAAAGAAAAGGAAACAAAGCAAACAGATACTGATATCATAATTACCATGAAAAAATTAAAATGCCTGTGCCCTCAAATTTCACAATGCTTCCGACTCTGAGATTAACAATGCAATTTATTGGGAAACCCTGGTATAACGAGGGAGTTTTGTTAATGATGTATGAAATGGATCATTTATTTTTCTTTTGTATTTCTAAAGCATACAAGGTGACACTGAGGTCAAATAATTGGCAGACAATGAACTGTCCGATCTTAAAGTCATCATTACTCACGTTTTTTCTCGACCTTAATCCGCACTGAGTCCCTTAGCGGGTTATGCCTGTATCCGAACTCTAAATGTATCCCAAATTCCAATCTTACGTTGACTGGTTGAATATTACACACAACGAACGCTGCAAGGTAATCTGTCAGGTTTCCCGCCCAACTTATGTCATATTCATAACCTGTCATCACTTCGGGAATGTTGGTTGTGCCATTAATGGTCATCACTCTAGGAAAAACGTGGCCTGGGCTTTTCCAGTAGCCAAATACAACTTTGATGAGACTAATATGGGCTGGCTGATAGTAACGCCAAACCAAAGAAACGTTGCTGCCGATGAAAGCCTTAGTCGGCTTATCTGGTGTAGAAATAAATCTCTGACGATCGGATGTTGGATAGAAAATAGAAAAAGTTAAAACAGCCCTAAAGGGACAGTACCAATTATATACACGCACGAACATCATCTGTTTATTCTTAAAAAAACTATCACATTGTAGCGACATTATTTTTTTCATTTGTCTTATCTTTATATTAGTTGGCTTACGGCACAAAGACTTCTCGCGATTTTGTTTGCTCGCTCAGCCGCCTGGAGACTTAATAGCGTAGCTCTTGATCGCGCGCGCTTCCACGAAGCGCGCGCAGCTGAGCACCATTGGTAAAAAGATTTGGTTACCAATGCATCGGAGAAATTTTGGTAGTCACGCGACCGTCCGCCCGACCGCCTGCCTGTCCGCACCACAGGCACACCAATAAAAATAACTTAATCAACAGGTATGGCAACCCATATGAAACTCTAGGTTTATTTGGCAAGAAATCGCATGGTCAACAACAAAGTCGAGTCTTTTTCGGCGATATTTTTTAAAATACACTCACGTGAGTAACAGAGAAAGGGCTCGTGCGAGTGATTGAAAACAACGGAGCCAGTTTCGTTGGAAGAAAGACATGAAAATTTCATAGCGGCGGTGAGAAAATAAGAAACGGTAGTGGTCAGCAAGGAGCGGTCAGCAAGGTGAAAATGAGCGGCAGTGAAAAAATATAAGCAAACAGGAACAAAAGCAACAAAATTTTTGGCGAGCACATACGAAAATTCTTCCATAATATTAATGTGTAACTAGGGAAGTTTCACGTTTTAGTCGCGCAAAACGGCATTGTAGTCGTGCCTGAAACAACGGCTAGAAACGTGCAAATTGTTCTATTTGCTACTTGGATCTATTAATTTTGATGCCGTTGTTATTGCCGTCGCTGTTCAGCATTACACGATTTGATTTTTTGTTTTTAAGTGTATTAACCAGAGCGTCGCTTTTAGCCCTGGCTAAATCTATACATTAAAGAGTTCGTTCCGCTCTTTACAGATTCTCTTGTGTGAAATTCGGGTCAGAGGTCAACTTCTGGCATGTGCAGTAACATTTTCTCTCGTTCCAGCCTCAATAGCAACCTCGTTCCCAGGGTCTTTTCGCTGAGTAGGGGAGGACTGTGGAACGAGGTTGGCCTAAATAGTTCGAAAGGTATAAATAAAAATGCAATCTCTACACGATTAAAAGGCATCGAATACAAAATAGATTAGCTTTAGTTCAACATATTATGATTTCATTGGCCTCTTTTCCTTTACATTAAGTGCCTATTTGGTTGATTTTGTTGGCCGTACTTTCCAGAGACAAATCGTTGCAGAAAATCGAGCATCACATTATCCATGCCACAAGATCTCTTCAGTGGCATCCTTGTCTCGTGGGTTTCTTTCTTTATATATACCTATTTCAATCAAGGTTGCTCCCGTGAAACATGATCCATGATGTATGATCCATGTTTCATAGACTTCAGTGCAGTATGGTCCCTTTTGTAGCGGGAAGTGTTCATTGGAATTATGGAGACCATGTACCTTTTAAAAAACTTGTTGGCAGGTGTTGATAACCTTTGAGAAGGCGCAAATGGTTGGGCAAATTTAAACTTAAATCACTGTCGTCTTAAAAAGCGGCAACTGCTAAAGACCTTTAGATTTCAGTGTTTTGAAATGCTTTATATTAACGTTCTGCTGACGTAGCACTGGAAAGGGTCACTGGCGTTTACTGCCTAGATTTCTAGGCTCGTCGTGGGCATGTAATTTACTAAAATTGCTCCCATAACGCACCCGTGGGCTATCAAACATGGATCATGCATCATTCTTCACCGAAGCAATTTCAATTGAAACGTGTATACAGTATCGTGCAAAAGAAATGAAAGCCGGAACTTTCGAATTCACGGTCCCTTTTTCTTGTGAGAATTCGATGAAAATTCGCAACGAATTTTCGTTGTGGTACCCACGAACTTTCGCTGAGTCAAACCGGAAATTTCGGTGTCCTCTTGGCGAAATTTCGTCAAAACTGGAAGACCGACGAATTGTAATAAGAAGCTTTTGGATGTTCGCTCCGTTTTCCTTTCCGAAATACTTTAAACAACTGATAAGTGGACATTTTACAACTCCTAAATTTGCCGGACTTGTGTCTAAACGTTTAGACTCAAGTCAAATTTAGAAGGACTTGTATGGAGTCATCAAAGCATAACTTGGCTAATATCTCAGAAACAATTTGCCCCACAGTGTTGGTTTTTGGCCAGCAGGCCTCTTGAATGTTGTTCTTTCAGAATATCCTACAAATCCCATAATTTCGCAAATTTAATTTTCTATGACGTAACACTTTGGTACTCTATTGCGACAGCTGAAAAGAATGTGACAGGAATGGGCAAAACTAAACAAAGAACTAAACAGTAAACAATTTGACGAGATATGCGGCCGTAACATTCCCTATCCTACCTAATTTACAGAGATTTCGATCAGACGAGAAGACAATAATGAAACCCTACACCATAAGATAAACTTGGCTAATTAGCCATGTTTTTAGCAATAGTAGAGCAGTGGTTATAGAGGAAGCATGACCTACCTGAAGTTAAAAGCTCCTTAGTTAAAAGGAGAAATAGAAGGAAAATATCTCGCCTGGCAGAAACGTGCATATTCTTCGATACCATTAACAAATAAAGGGATTTGTTGCACCTTTACTCGGAGTGCTTTTGTCAACTGCCTCTCTGCAGTTCTTAGAAAAACAGGTAGTACTATACTGTCAGGTGATAAGGGCGTTTTAGAAAGGCGACTGAAAAAAATCTCACTTGACCTTTTTAAGAAAAGTATTAATACCAATTGTGCCAGTGTTACATTTGCAAGGATATCAACCAAGTGCCTATTTTCGGCATAATCTCATGCACATGTCGAAGATTTTGGAAGATTGCTAATCCAAACAATCTGGAATACCCTCGAAGCACAACGAAAATCCTGGCGATCTGTAAAATGACAAACGTAATTAAACTACTCTCTAGTATATGTAATATTCTTTCTGCTTTCTGTTTGGGACAGTTTTACTCACTTGTTAATGACTTACTATGAGCTGTTCCGGGTTGTCATCCGTGTTCCCCTTTTGGTTGCTGAGGGTGTTTCCGAAAGTGACTTCAAATTTCTCTCATATTCTAAAAACTTCCTTGACAATAATGCAACTGTCAAAACCCTCCCTCAGGAAAGGCCATTTGTTTAGCTGATTTGTTTTTAGCAAAATTATTTCTAAAGCACTCTGTTTGCCCCCAATATTTGCGTTAACTATTGTTTTCAAATTCTACTGGGAGGACTGCATATTCCCAAGAGTTGAAAGAAATAAAAAAAATTGAGGGGTGGGGGAGTGGGGGGTGTTTGGCTTCGGACAAAGTGTATTTTGAGGCATTCGAATAACGAGTCCCCAAACCCATAAAATACTGCCTTTGAGTCCAAAGGGGTAAAATGCACAACAAAGCGGCAACTTCTGGTAAGTGACTATTTATTATGTTTCTACATTTGAAACTAAAAGTTCACTTTGTGAAAAATATATTGAATGTCTCATACGAGGTCTATAAATCAATCGTAATGAGAAAAACTACAAAATCTTTCGGTAATTTATGTACCGAGTTTGGGAAGCCAGTGATAACGTACATGTACGGTGTAGACAGCTGCGAGGATATTTTACGTTAAACAAGAAGTGCAAGTACGACCAGGTCCTGATATGGTCAGCCATGCAGGGCAACGCCCTGATATCAAAATACCAATAATTACCTAAAAAAAATAATCCTTGGACACCGCCTAGGTAAACAGAAGAGTAAAAAAAAAAAAAAAACTAACAAAGACAAGAATGCGGAATCTTGCAACTTATTCCCAAAGGCTTAACTCTGAAGTCCGCTTTGGTTGTTTTTTTGGTCCTTATGAACCTATGCATATTATCCTTCCTGGACCCATTAAGCTTTCCATTTAAGCTATTTAGGTATAGCACTGTAATTAGCAGTATCAGTGAGGATAGATCTTTCCACCAGCACCTCATTTAGCACATTTTGACCAATCCTAACAGAGTTACAGACAAAAAACATATAACATTTGGGGAAAAAAACTTCCCTTCCCTTCCTTTTTTTTACCTACAGTACTACTCTTTGAACTATAATTAAATTTGTCCCTTTCTTGAAAAGAAAGCCAGCCAAAAGTACAAGCTCTAAAAACAAAGCCAAAGGGAAAAGAAGAGAAGAATAAAGATCGAAATTGATTCGACAAAATCCAAATTTTGCCTTTTGCGCAAGCGCGAAAAACAAAAAAAGCTGCTTAAAATATATTAGATGCAATTAGCAAAAATTTTTGTCTTTAGTATTGGAAATCTTTAGCCATTCCACTCCATTGCTACCTAGCCAGAAAACGGTTCAAAAGGGAAGATTTGGTCCAAAACTTCCTCTCTTGGTCCAAAATGCGGTTTTCCCCTAAAAATTAGCTGACGGCAACGGGTTAACGAACAACTCCTCTCTTTCGCTAGTTCCGGTACAAAACTTTGAAATACCCCTCCTGAAAATTTGCTTTCCATACTGAGGAGGTTTTTCAACAAAATAACCAATGTCCTTTCATTGAACGTATTGAACATAGAAGACCAGTTATTGCAAAATATCTTTGAAATACAATATACCGTCATTAAACATTATTTAATTAAAATAAGACTCTAAAACTTGCATGTTGTTTTCTGTTGTTCGTCTCGACTAGTCACCGTGTGGCACGAAATGTCAGCGGAAGTTTATTTTTGCGGATTGGCGATTTTTTGTGTTTTGCGGGAACTAATTTTTGTGATTAGGACAGATTTGTTTTTCTTGCTGGGAATTAATTTTTTCAGTTTTCAGAAAGTACCCAGTGCCCAACATTGATAATATTTTCGTTTTTATTGAGTATGCGCAATAGAAATACATATTTTAATTTTAAACAACAGTCTTTCATGTATACCGTTTTGTTTCTGAATGAAAGAGACAAGTTGTGATTCAACAGACACGATTTCGTAGTACTGCATTTTTGTGTAGCGAATTCAAGCTAGTAAGAGAATGTTAACTCTGGAGTAAATTTTTGTGGGAAAACTGCTTGCGGTAATTTTTATTTGCGGGAACTTATTTTTGCGGATCGCTGAAAAAATCGCAAAAATCGCAAAATTAGAACCCGCAAAAATTTCGTGCCACACAGTAGATTATTTTCGGGTCTGGCTTTGTATATTAGTGTTTAATAAAGTGTACCCGGTAATGTGTAAAATTAAGTGTAAATGCAGAAGTAGCTCTCACGGTTTCTGAAACAAATTTTAAAATTAAATGAATGAGTTATTAATTAATGATTTAACACAAGAAAACCAGTCAGGTCAGAAAACACACGTCAATAAGAACAGTCTTTTTCATTGATTAACATTTTTTGTTTCGTTGATGTTTTCAAATCATTATATCCCTTGTTCTTAGAAGCATAACAAAATATAATTGTTTTTGCTCTTCGGAAATTCGCTTGTTTCAAGAGACTATATCTCAATCTATACATTTCATTCAAGGGCTAACAAATTGATACAGTAAAAGGAGAAGCAGACCATCATGGAATATGCAAAGCATGTGCTAGTGCTCACACAGTTCAGTCGTCTTGCAGCTCTTCTAATTTCACTTGAACTCTATTGGAATTGCAGTTCTTTTGTTTTCCGGGGTTAGGTTCCATTGTAGCCCTAGATACAAACATCCGGATATTTTAAAATATATTTAGAAGATTTTAAGATATTTAGGAAAAAATTGTGATATTTAGAATTTTGTTACGAAAAAAGGACTGAAATCATGTTTTTTCTATTAAGCTACTTCAATGCTTATTAGGGCATGGGCATTTCAGTGACAGAAATTCAAACAAATCTCCACATATGGGCCTGTTGTAATCAGATTAAGCAATATTCTCCATTTATAAGTTCAACAAAATGGCTTAAATTTGTGTTGCCTTTTGAGATGACGGGCTATTTTTTTTGTGTTTTTACTGTAATATTTACGAAATGAAGCCAG